TGCCACACGCCCATCGGGCCCCCTCAGGAGTGACAGATGTTCCCCTCCAGCTGCCGGGTCTGCTGGGAGATGCCTTCAGTGGGCAGTCTAGGGATGTTCATTGCAGAAAAAGTTATCTCCCACCCCCCTACACACCCCCGATCACACCGTGCTCCAGGGGAAGTGTGCACCCAGTGACTGATCGACACGGGTTTGGAAGACACCTTCATCCTGACTCTAGACGTCGTCCCTGAGACCCCAGGGCCGGCTGAGAACTTCTGGGAGTGGACTGCAAGCCACCCTCCTCTGTCCTCTCCAGGCTGCATCCCAAGAGCACTTCTTGGCATGGCCCTGGCTGGCACGGCCCCGGGGTGGGAGACCTGGCCCGCCACCGGCGTCCCCCATCAGGCTGCCGATCCCCGAGGCTTTGCTCTGGGTTCCGTCCTGTTCCACTGATCCATCCGTCCAAGGGCTCTGCTGTGCCTCACTGCGTGACTGAGGCGGCCGTGTGTCAGCCGCAAACCTGAGTGTGGACGGCAGGGGGTTGACTCCTGGGAGACGAGAGGTAGAGCCGGCTCAGTATGCTCGGCCCCCGTCCACACGTGTGTCACTCTCCGTGAGGCCAGGCCCACGTGTCGTCTCGGCCGCTGACCCTCTTTCTGCGGGCTGGGCCTTGGCACTGGGCAGCTGGGCCTAGCTGGAGAGGCAGGCGTCCGTGAGAGTGGAATAACCGCAGACGCGCCGGGCTTGTCCAGGTGCTGTCTTCTCGAAGCCTGGAGCAGTTCGGGACTCAGGCAGCCCTGCAGGGCAGACCTCGCACCCAGACTCCCCCGGCTGCCCTCCTCGCCGCTGCCCTTCTCTATGGAGGCAGCAGACTGAGGTCACGCGGGGTGGCCCGAGTGGCCACGTGGTGCGGGCGCAGCAGGTAAGTCAGGGGAGCCTTTCCCCGCCTGCCTTCCATCTCGCATCCGCGCCCACCAGTGACCTCCGGCCGCGGGGAGGAGCGGGGACACTGAGTCTTCGGGCGCTGTGGAGAGGCGGGGGGCCGTGCCAGGCCTCTGTGGCCCTCTGCGTGACGGGCTCAGATCGGATCTTTGCTCCCCGGGACCTGCCCGGGTGTCCGGTGCCCTGCGTTCCCCGCGAGCCTTGGGTCGCACTGCCCACCGGGCCTTCCACCCCAGCCCGGTCCCCGCCAGCCTGCATCCAGACGGCAGCCGTGGCGGCCCGCGTGGTGTCCTCGCGCCCTGGCTAGGCCTCGGGCCCTCCGTCGGGCCAACGGATGTATCCTCGAGCGCCTCTGTGCGGAGTTTGCACGGTGCCTCTGCCGGGGCCTGGTTGGCGGTATGAACGGCATGAACGGCGTGAACAGGAGGGGCTGGGCGCGTGTCTCGGAGGATCGAGGGGCGTCCTTCCCCCCGCCCAGCCCCGTCGGCAGCACCTACACAGCGGCACCCAGTGTGTTGGGGGTGGGTGTGCCTTCAGCGCCTGCGGCTGCCGTTCACAGAGACCTGGCTTGGCCGGAGCTGCTGGGCGCTCGGGTCGTGGCTGAGACCACGGAGGCCCCCGACCCCGACCCCAAGGTGGAGGTGATGCTGGGGAATGGAATCCAGCCCCCATGAGTGGCTCAAAGACACAGACCGAGTATGAGGGGCTCCCTTGGACCCCCACTTTCCTCGTTACCCACAGCGTGGCCACTGGGGTCCTGCCCACTGGTCCTCTCTGGCCTCTCCCCCGCATAGTATGAAAGCGAGTGGGCATTACTATTCCCATAAAACTTGGTTACAAGAACAGGTGGGCCAGATTTGGCCCTACTCACAGGTTGGGCCTCTGGTCTACAACACGGACCCCGAGTTTCTGAGTCAGGAGGCCTGGGGAAGGGCCCAGGGGTCTGCATTTCCTGCAGGTTCCAGTGAGAACCATAGCAGACCCAGGAGTGAGGCAGCCGGGCTGTGCAGCAGGACCTCAGGACCACTGGGGAGCTTTCCAGCCCTGCTCTGGGAGGGGTCCTGGCCTGAGCACCCTTGCTCTGCACCAGCAGGGGTGTGGATGGGACCCCTGGGGCCCAAGGAACAGTCTGAAAAATAGATGCAGGTCGCTGGTGACCTTGGTGAGAACCCATGGGCCCATCCAGGTCTTCCCGACGCAGCTCCCAGCCTTGACCCTATGCTGAAGCCTTCCCTGTGGAGGAGCTTTGGGGGGTCCTAGAACAGCCCTCCACCCCAGGGAGGGGGCCACAGACCTACCACACAGCCAGGGAGCCCCGTCCCCATGGGAGAAGCGGTTCCTCCAGCAGTGGGGAGCTCCGTGGACCATCAACGTGGGCCTCTGGTGCACACTTGTGTCCTCTGCTCCACGATGGTCATCAGGTTGCCCGCAGCCTCCGTCTTGCTCAACACAGAGTCAGCCCCTGAACTACTACTCTCAAGCCCCAGGCCTCGGGGTACAGATCCCCCACCTTGTCCCCAGCCTGAGCGTCTACAGCTGGACAGCCGGGCTGGGGCTGAGCCTCAAGTGTCCCTGCTTCTGTTCCTAGGCAGCCTCATTGTGGCTTTAAACGTCATCCCTGTGTTGGTGACTCCAGAAGGAGCAGCTCTGGTTGCTTCTGGGCCATTCAAGTACCCAAACACAGTGCCCCCAGCACACCTCGCTACCTCCTGGCCCAGGTTTTCTCTCCATGATCAGGAACTCAGTCCCCATCTACCAAGAAGCTCTGGCCAAAACTTGAGTCATCCCATTCTTGTCTTTGCCTCACACCCAAGCTTCAGAACGTGTTCCCAGCATGACCTCGTCTCACCTCCCCCCCAGCCATGGGTCCCTGACAGCTTGGCTTCCTAATGGCCCTTCTGACCTCTCTGCCTGTCTCCACACAGCAGAGTTTAAGGCAAACCAGTGCAATCCTGGAGTGCGGGTGATGGTCGCGTCTGGGTTTCAATCCAGAGTCCTTACCTGGACTCGAAGCCACCTCGCTAGTGTCCCCTCCCTCAGGGGGCCCTCCCTTGACCTCCTGAGGGTTGTGCAGACTCCCCAAGCTCCCTCCTGCCCGGGGCCCTGGAGCCTGCCCCTCTGCACCCACGTGCTCAGAGCCCTCTCTCGCTGTGCAGACTACACTGAGGTCAGCTCTTCAGAGAGACTATCCCCTGCCACCCCGTCAGGAACAGTACCTTCTCTCACTGCATTTCCTTATTTTCCCCACAGCACTTGTCACCACCAGGTGTGTGGGAGGTGGGTGTCTACTGCTGCCCCTGCACTCGAAAGTAAGGAGGGCCAGGGCCAAGTGCCCAGTGCCTGGAGAGGCACAGCGTGCCCTTGCACGTCACAAGAAGGGTTAACGGGGCGCCTGGGGGGCTCGGTCCGTTGAGCATCCACCTCCTGATTTCTGCTTAGGTCATGATCTCGGGGTCACATTGGGCTCCACGCTCACTGGGGAGTGCGCCTGAGAGTCTCTCTCTGCCTCTGCCCCTCCCCCACCTCGTGCAGGCTCTCTCATTTATTTAAAAGGTCATAGAACTGTGTAGACGAAGGTAGCTGTAGCGGAACTGCAAGCACAGCAGAGCAGCAGAGCACCTGAGGACCGGCCGGCACCTGCGGACGGCTGAGGCCACCCCTGGCTCTCACGCGGTTTGGAGGCAGGATCCTGGTGCGGCCCCACAGCCTGGGAGACAGGCCACCCGTGGGAGAGCACCAGAGAAGGTCTGCCCGGGCCCCAGGCGCCTATTTCCCAGGACTTCCAGGGTGCTGCTGGGTGGGTTGAGGGATGGTGTCCCCAAAGGGTGATGATGCCTCCTGCAGGCAGAGGAACTCCCTCACCCTGGGGTGGGGGGGGCGGGGGGGGAGCAGGCAGGTGTCAGGACTGCCCCGGGAGCTGCCCAGGGGCACATTGGCAGAACCAGAGCAGAGACCAGAGCAAGAAAATGGAGGGAAGCCAGGTGTTCTGGGGGCAGGGGGGGAACTGTGTCCCTCCCAATTCACAGGGTGAGCCCTGACCCCTGTGTATTTGGAGACAAGCCTGTAAAGAGGGGATGAGGTTGGGACGCCTGGGTGGCTCTGCCTTCGGCTCAGGGCGTGACCCCGGGGGCCCGGGGCTCGAGTCCCCCATCGGGCCCCCTGTGGGAGCCGGCCTCTCCCTCTGCCTGTCTCTGCCTCTCTGTGTCTCATGAATAAATCAATAAAATAAAAAAAGGGGGGGGGGTCAGGTTAAAATGAGGACCTTCGGGGAATCCTAACCCCGTGTGACTGGTGTCCGTGGACACACAGGCTCAGGAAACCAGTGGGACCCCTTGATGGCAGCCGGCAGCCTCGGGGTGGGGGGGGGGCGACTGCAGAGAATCCACTCGCCGGTGCTTAGACAGGAATTACTCTCGCATTGTTGGCAGTTATCGGAGTAGCTTCCCTGGAGCCAAACTCCGGCCTGGGCCGGGCTCTCCGGAGACAATGGGCTTCCCCCACCCTTGCAAGCCGGGCAAGCTGGGCGTGGTCCCCAGCAGCCCCGCGGCTGGCCTGGGTGAATCCCTCGGAGATAGGCCCGCCCGGCCCGCCCTGCCCTCCAGGTGGGGGGAAGGGGGAGGGCTCTAGCCCGGAGGGGTCCCCTCCCTGCACCTCCCTCCGGCCCCCCACCCCCAAGGAGCGCGCCCTGGGTGTGGTGGGCGCTGCTGGCTTTGCTGGAGCACCCAGGGCGCTGCCCGGAGGGGCGGGCGGCCCCCACTCTGCGCTCCGGGGCCTTCGGGTCAACCGTAAGGCCCGAGGCTTTTGTGTCACGTGCCACAGCCACCCCAGCCCCGGGGGCCACCGCACAGGGCGGGTGTCCGACAGCCCCGGGCCGCGCAGGCCCCGCCCCCCGCAGGCCCCGCCCCTCCACAGGCCCCGCCCCTCCAGGCGCACCTCGCCCTCTGCAGGCCCCGCCCCTCCGCAGGCCCCGCCCCATCCGCAGGCCCCCGCCCCCAGGCGCACCTCGCCCTCCACAGGCCCCGCCCCCTCCGCAGGCCCCGCCCCTCCGCAGGCCCCGCCCCCTCCAGGCGCACCTCGCCCTCCGCGGCCGCCCGCCCCCAGCACGGCCCGGCCCCCCGCCGCGGACGCCCCCACTTCCCCTCGGTCCCCTCGGTCCTTCGGCGCAGGGTCGGCATGGCGCGCGCGCTGGGGCCCGAGCGGCGGCTCCTGGCCGTCTACACCGGCGGGACTATCGGCATGCGGAGCGAGCAGGGCGGTGAGTGCGCCCCGAGGGGGAGGGCCGTGGGGTCCCTCCCTGGCCCGGACCTTCCCCAGGCCGGCCCCGCCCGTCTCCGCGGCGCCGTAGCTGCCACCCCGCCCGCGGAAGACCCCGGCTGCTGTCCCACCCCTGCCCCGACACTCAGGACGGCTGTCCGGGCCTCCCCCGCGGAACCCACCCCTCCCGCCACGGTGGGTCAGGTGCAGGACGTGGCTCTGCCGCCGTGGTGGTGGCTGCTGCTGGGGGGTGAGGGCCTGGGGGCTGGAGCTCGTGGCCGGGGCCAGCTGCACCTGCAGGCAGGGCCCCCAGGGGTGGGGGGGATGGCGACGCAGCAGCGCCCGGGACGGTGGGAAACGGCGTGCACCGTCCCCAAAGGCTCCTCCTGGTTCTGTGCTGTGCGGGATGCCCCTACCCCAGGCGGGCCCGGGCAGCCCCCAGCCTCGTGGAAGCAGCTGCTCAGACACCACTGGCGCCTCGTCGGTGGCTCCCACAGCTGCTTTGCCGTCACCTGCCCCTGCTGTTCCATCTGTGACATCATTCGAGGGCCACTGCGTGTGGGCCCCAGGACTCAGGCCTGCGTAAGCCCTGCCCTGGAGGGGCTCCTGCCGGGGGACGTGGTTGTTCGCCCACCCTGCCCGTGGCTCCCCGCTGGGCTGCCTGGGGCCTGCCCTCTGCTGCTGTGCTCCCGACCTAGTTCGTGGCTGAACTTGTGCAGCCTCGAGGGTCCCCCGGGTGACACCCCACCTGCAGCATGCTGCTGTGGTCCCTCAGCCCCCACGGGCCCAAGAAGGGCTGATGTTAAAGCAGCAGCGGCGTGTGGTTGAGGTCTGCTGAGGAGACCCCGGGGCTGCGGGCGGCTGTGCGGGCAGGACCCTGCGTGTGGCTCCAGGCTTCCCTTGAGGATACGAGGCCTGGACCCAGGTAGGGGAGAGAGGGAGGGCCCGGGAGGGGGAGCTGCCCTGAGCCCACCCCAGACACTGCCCCTCCAGGCTTGGCACGTGGTCAGCTGCGATTCTGTTGAGCTCAACGCTAGCTCCCAGGGGTCTGGGCTGTGGGGACAGGTGGACTCCAACCCTGTCCCACCTGCACGGCATCGTGCCTCCCTGCCCTGCCTGGTTCCCCGGGGCAGCCCTGGGCTCACTCCCACGGGTGCTGCTTCTCTCAAAGACGCTGCAAAGTCACAAGTTCAGAAGGTCAGCTAGAGACCTTGACTCAAGAAGGAGTGTGGGGGTCGGCTTCCAGATGGGAAGGAATCTTCCAGAATCCCTCAGCCTGCTCTGGCACTGCAGCCTTCTGGCCTGCGGAAGGTGAGGTCGGCAGGCGCCTTCTTGTGCTTGGAAGCCAGCTCAGAGGAGCCAGCCTGCCCTAGCCGGCAGGGAAGCTGGTCTTCTGAGCTGTTGACTTGGGGGCAGGGGGCTCCCGCCCCGGGGCAGGGGTGCCTCGTCTGCTGGGAGCCACAGCACATGTCCTGGCTCCTTGCAGAGGGCTTTGCCTTTGTGTGACCTGCGCGTCCTCTATCCCCGTGGCAGCTGCCAATCCTTCCTCATCAGGAAGGCTTCAGGGAGCCCGAGGCTTAAGCCCCCGAGGACAAAGGAGGAAGAGGCCTGGGATCTGGTCCCTGCTGTCCCTCTAGGGTCGTGCAACCCCCGAGCCCCTGGCCCTTGAGACCAGTCAGGGTCCTTGGGCCTGCTCTAGTCCGTGACTAGCTCTCAGTGTTCTTGAGGGACGCACATCTCCTACTGGCATTTTTTGGGCAAAAAACATGTAGAGTACAGAGTGAAAAAGGTGTCCAGGGTTCAGGTCAGCAGCCCATGCCAGGGCAAGAGCAAGATGCAGATGGATGGGGGCGCCAGGCCAGGGGCAGGAGGCCGTGCTCTGAGGGCCTCGGGCACGGCCCTGCCCTCTCCGAGCCCCGCTCGCCTTGTTGAACTCGGGACTCCAGGCCCGTCCCGGGAATTCCGATCGGGGCCAGCATCAATGATTAACTCGCCTGGCACTGCTGACGGGGCTCCAGCCGGGTGAGGGCGGCGAGGGGCGGCGAGGGGCGCAGGCCAGCCACAGCAGAGCTGTTTGGATCGTCACCGTTGGCGTCTGTGCGCCTGCTGGTAAACAGTGGCGCGCAGGGCACACGGCGCCGCGTGTCCAAACCCTGCCAAAGGTCAGGACGGCAAGCTGAGGGCAGGGGCCTTGGAAGCGAGGGACACCCCTTGACCCCATCCCCTCTGAGCTCAGCAGAGATGTCACAGGTCAAGGGGCATCACGAAAGCAAAGTCAAGAGCTAACACCGAGCCCGAGGCCGAGCCGCATCAGAGGCCTGCGTGACCCTGCCTGCTTGCCCCCTGCCCCTCGCAGGCGCTTGCAGACATAGCAGTAGCAGGATGAGCAGAGCTTTGGGGCCGGGATCTGAATGTGCCAGGACAGCCTGGGGCGCAGTGGGGGGGGGGTCGCAGGTCGTCCTACAGCCAAGCCTTGTCGGGAGGGCTGATGTCCACAGCCTCTTGGTCACCGCAGTCCTCGGAGCCCTCGGCCTGGACCTCCTTTCACATGCTCACAAGATCACATTTTTATAGCCTAAGCAGGCAGTTCTAGGGGGATCTGCAGTCCTGGGGGCAGCCCGTCCCTTACAGACGAGAGGCTTGGCAGGAGCTGAGCCTCTGCGGGGGACTGGCAGCCTGTCTGTGTGGCCCAGGACGAGACCAGGCGGGACAGGTTCTGGTTTTAGAGGGGCCTGGGGGGCAGGGGCTTGTTGAGAACAACAATACAAGTTACAAAATCAGAGTTCACTGTGAAAGTGGATATTTACTTGGAATGATTAAGGAAATCACAACAAATCACCAGTTTTATTTTAATTTTTTTTTAAATTTATTTATTTATGATAGTCACAGAGAGAGAGAGAGAGGCAGAGACACAGGCAGAGGGAGAAGCAGGCTCCATGCACCGGGAGCCTGACGTGGGATTCGATCCAGGGTCTCCAGGATCGCGCCCTGGGCCAAAGGCAGGCACCAAACCGCTGCGCTACCCAGGGATCCCTTTAATTTTTTTTAAAAAAAAGAGTTTTAATGTATTTATTCACAAGAGACACAGAGAGAAAGGCAGAGACACAGGCAGAGGGAGAAGCAGGCTCCATGCCGGGAGCCAACTTGTGACTCGATCCAGGGTCTCCAGGATCACACCCTGGGCTGCAGGTGGTGCTAAACCGCTGAGCCACTGGGGCTGCCCAAATCACCAGTTTTAAAAAGCCAAGAATATCATAAAACCCAGAAAAATGTGTTGTTCCTCAGTGTCCTGACACTCTCTCCTAGCTGCTCCCCCACTGGGTTTTTGGCTGCACGTTTTCCCACGCCCTTTGGTAGGCCAGTGCCGGGCAGGATAGGAGAGCGTCCTTTACTTGGGCCCCTTTCGCCTCTGCTGCCCACGTGCTCCCTGGGGGCGCAGGGGAGTCCTGCCCTTGCGGGCCCTGAGGCCCTGCCCCTTCCCACCTAGCCACAGCAGGACGTCCCTGGCAACTGCTGCCCCACCGTCGGCTAGGAACAGCCCAGCTGCAGGGGGAGGTGACCCCACGCACGCTTGTTCCATGAAACCCAGAGCAAGTGTGTCCCCACCTCACCTGCCCCGTATACGGACCCCAGTTTGCAGAGACACCCCCGCACCGTCCACCCCAAGGAGCTGGAAGTGGCCGTGTGAGTGTCCTGGGGTCGCTCCAGCAAGTGACTGAGAGGGTGGCCCCCTGTGCTGTAGGCAGGGTCTGACATGGGGGGGTGAGGGCCTGTCCGTCCTTCCTGGGCCCTCGGCTGTGGCCGAATCACTGCAGGCTTCCCGGCCGGGGTCTTCGTGCCTCTCTCTGCCCTGTCCTTATGTGGCCGCCCCCTCTGTGCATCCAGTGTCCCTCTGCTCCCGCTTAGAAGGACACTTAGGGCCCACCCGCAAAATCCAGGGTCATGTCCACGTCCAGACTCTTAACTGCATCACACCCGTGAAGGCTCTGCATTCAGGCCGCACTCAGGTCCTGGGGATCAGGACGTGGACATCTTTGGGGGCTGCTTTTTAGCCTGCTGCGGGTGGGGTGGGGGAGCTTGGCCGCCGGAGCTGGGGGCCTGGGGGGCTGGCGGCCTTCCTCAGTGCCTGGGATCCGAAGTTCTGTCCTCGCTGCTGGCAGGGCAGGTGGGTCCGGACCTCTGTGGAGGCGGACACATGTCGTGCTCAGGTTTGGGTGTCTAGGGGGGCCAGGCTGGTGGCGGTCCTGCACCCATGTCCCGTGTCTACTGAGCCCCGTGGGCGTGACGTTTCGTCCTGCAGCAATCGCGTGCGGAGCTCCTGCTGGGGTGCGTGCGCACGGGGGCAGTCGTTCAGAGTGCCTCCCCTTGGGCTCCCTGTCCGGCTGGGGAGATGGCACCAGACACCCACGGACACGCGAGGGGCCAGTGTGCCTGTGCTGGCCAGGGGGCTGGTGGGAGCTGGGGCCTGGGATTGAGCAGGTGGACTATGGAGGGGGCTTTGGGGGGCAGCGTGAGCAGTCCTGCTGACCCAGGGGTCGGCGGGCTTCTGCCCACAGACGGGGTGTGCTGCTGGGGTAACGGGTTAAGCGCCGCGGGAGCCCCTTACGCCCACCCGCTCGGCTCTGGGGGCGGCCGGGAGCTGCAGGGCAGGCTGCGGAGGGCCCGATGCCCAGCCGCTCTCCCTAAGTGTCCTTGGGGCGGGGAGCCTGGCCCCAAGCCTGTTGGGGACACAGGCGCTCATGTGGCCTAGGAGGGTGTCCTGTCAGGGAGGCGACCACGCTTCCGGGCTCCCTGAAGGGAAGACACGAGGCAGAGGCCGAGTTGGAGAGATGAACGCATGTAGGGGGGTGGCCTGGAAGCCGAGCCCCATCCCTGTGCAGGGGGCAGCGAGCCGCCGTCCTACCCGCGTGGAGCTGAATCCCGCCACTGCCCGAGCCAGCCCGGACGCAGACTCTCCCCCCCCCCCCGCCCCGCCTGTGGGGTCCCAGCCCTGCTGACACCTGGGCCCTCGGGGCTCGGGAGATGAGGAGGGGGTGCTGTGCTCACCAGCTGAGCAGCAGTGGGGGGACAGCTGAGGCCCGGGGCGACCAGCGGCCACTGACCCTGCTCTGGGAGGTCTTGCTTGATTCGGGCTGTTTCTCGCCGAGGGGGACCCTGTTGTCCTCGTCACTGTGCACAGCCAGGCACGTGGCAGACGCCCAGAGAAGTTCGCTGCCCTGTCCAAGGTCATGGTGCTGGTAGGAGCAGGGTGGGACAAAAGGCCAGGACCCTGATGCCTCGGAGCCTTTGCCCAGGGGTTGTTTCTAGGAAACACACCAGTGACCTTTTAGGGTTTTCTTAAAACACAGCACCATTTCTGCCCAGGGCCTTAGAGGCATGTTTGCGGGACATGGAGGCTGCAGGCAGAGGGCCTGGGCTGGGTTGTTGAGGGGTCACATGCCGCCCAGCGAGGGAGCAAGGGCAGGCGGGGGGACGTGGAAAGGGCACCAGGGCCCGCACATCAAGGAGGGCTTCCTGGAGGTGTGACCTGAGCTGGGGTGAAGCACCTGCTGGGTTTAAGGGCGAGGGGCCAAGGACTTGCAGGCAGAGCCAGCAGTACGTCTGCAGGCAGCAGTTGGTGTGGGCATTCTGGGAAGTGGGGAGGAAATGTGGGTGCGCTGGGCTGCATTGTGAGAGAAGGGGGGAGAGGGCCTGGCCCCTGAAGCTCGGCTGAGTGTGGGCTCCCCGGAGACGGGGTGCACTGGGGCAGGCCCGGGGTGGAGTGGCCCCGGATTGTGACCCCTGCCCGGGCCTGGCCCCCAGCATGTTGGGAAAATGTCCTGAGGAGGAGGGGGAGCCAGTGGTCACAGGCGTTAGCGGTGGCTGCTGGCCCCTGACCCCACACTCCCCCCAACCCGGATTCTGCCTACAGTGCTCGTCCCCGGGAGGGGCCTGGCCGCTGTCTTGAGGACACTGCCCATGTTCCATGATGAAGAGCACGCCCGGGCCTGTGGCCTCCCTGAGGACACCTTGGTGCTGCCGTGAGTGTGGGCTCCTTGGGGTCCCAGGCAAGGGTGACCACTGGCTGTTGTAGGGGTAGAGCCATCCTGAGATGGGATGGTGCCCGCAGGGCCCGTGGAGCAGGCTGTGGTCACTGATGTCCTCTTATGCTCCCCTTTCAAGTGAGCCTTGGACTCCCATCACCTTGGGGGTCCGCCTACCACCTGGGGGGTCTCCAGGTCCTGGCCCCGGCCACGTGGGGACACAAGCCCGTGGAGAGAGGCAGGGGCTGGCCCCTAGTGTGAAGGCCCCTCTGTTATTGAGCTCCCCGCCAAGGCCGCCCGGTGCCCTTCACGGCTGTCAGGCTGAGAGGGGTCTCCCTCCTGCCAGAGGCTCTCCTTCTGGGGTCATCTCCTGGCCCAGCCGGGGCCAGGCCCAGCCGCACTCTCAAAGCTGGTTCTGGAAAGGTGACATACTGTTCGGAGCCTGTCCTGGCCGGGCCTTAAACCTCCTGAGGACTAAGGGACGTGTTCCTGGGGACTCTGGGTGGAAGGGAGGCTGGGCGCAGTACTCGGGATGCTGCCGAGCCCACTGGGAGGTGCCGGGGTGCAGGGGCCAGCTGGGTGCAGGGGAACGGTGGGGGCCAGGGAGGTGGGGGCAGCCCTTGTTCTGCCTCCCGCAGGCCGGCCAGCCCTGACCAGAGAGTCATCTACACGGTGCTGGAGTGCCAGCCCCTCTTTGACTCCAGTGACATGACCATCACCGAGTGGGTTCAGATTGCCCAGACCATCGAGGTAGCTGAGGGTGCGGACTGGGCGGGGCGGAGGGTGGGCCCGGCCAATGCTGCAGAAGCTCTCACCGGTTCTGTGGGGGTGGGACCTGCCCGCCTGGCCTGAGACTTGGGAAAGTCCGAGAATGGCAGCTTCAGGAAACTGCTGGGTCCTCGGGTCACACCTCAGCTGTGAGGCTCCTGAGGCTCTTTCCCTCAGCGAGCAGAGAGCAGGCAGGAAGGGCCGTGTCCACTTTCCTGGTGAGGAAATGTCCTGGACAGCTGTCCTGGTAGCCTCCTGGGCTGGGATGCTCGCCACTTCCCCAAGGTCGGCAAGCTCCATGCCTGGTCCTCCCTGAAGGGGGACTTCGTGGATTTGGAGTCCGTAAAAGGCTCGGGCACAGAACCCCGTGCAGGTCTCGTGGTTTACGGCACCCGGTGTGGCCCCCCTACCCGCTGGAGAGCGCCCCTCCGTCACTTTCCTCTCTGTTCGCCCAACCTCATCATCTCCAGCCCCCTTCCTGCACGAGCCTGGCCCTGTTACCTGACTGCCTCCCACGTCCTCCTCTCACCCCCTCCCTCCCCTATCCCCCCCCCCACTTCTCCAGCCCAAATGCTCCCCTCTTAGGGAGCCTCGGTGGCTCATCACCCAGGTTCCCCTCCGCTGCAGCCGAGCCCCAGCCACACGCTTGTGTTCTTCTGCCCTAGTGGGGAGAGCGGCTTCCTGGGCACATCCCCTTGCACTGTGAGCAGGATAGCGTGTGGCCCTGGGTCTGGTCCTGATGCTCCTCAATGGGACTAGCCGACAGTGGGCATGTCTGTGGCCATAGTCCGGGGCAGTGTCCCTGGCCTGTGGCCAGCAGCATCCTCTGGCTGGGGCCTGACCGCTTTGCTGAGCTCCCGGGACTGCTGTCCCGCCCCAGTGTCCAGCCCCGTGCAGCCTCCCTGGCGACCGGCCTGCGGCAGTGCCCCGGGTGGCCAGCAGAGGGTGCCCCAGCCCGCCACTCGGCTCGGCAACCTCGTTCCAGGGCCAGCCTGGTTTGGTCTTTCAATGGGCATGGAGGGTGCGCCCTTCAGGAGGGCCTGACCCCTTAGGTTCCCGGAATTCTGCCCCTGAGGCCCAGCCTCGGCTCCTGCTAGGTGCTGGCCAGAGGATGTCCTTGCAGAGGTGGCCAGTGCCTGGGAGCACCTTCTAGACTTTGCTGTACCTGGAAGGACTCTGCCCCATGTTTGCACACCAGCGTCCTGCCAGGCCCTGTTCCAGCCAGCCTCCCAGGTCCCCTGGCAGCTCCCAGCCCCGGCTACGCCCTGCGCCCATCCTGGGTCCACGGCTGGCCCTCCCGCTGGACCATGGGCTCACAGGCTCACTCAGCCCTGCAGCACCTGCCCTCGAGCCAGTGGCCACACAGCCAGGGGCTCTCCAGGAGCCCTGAGCTGAGTTCTGGTGTGGTCCTCCACTGACCAGTGTCCTTGCGAGCCCTGACGAGGCATCAGCTGGAGGAGAGGCCGCCCAGAAGTCTAGAGCACACCTTCCTATCCTAGGAGAGTGTCCAGAGACGCCACCTCCCCCAGGCCCACGCCTCTCACGCAGTCAGGAAAGGAAGCTGTCCTGCGTGTGGGGAGGGCGCCGAGGAATGGGTCTCCAGGCAGGGGCTTGCTTTCCAGCAGTGACCAGGATCCCACCAGAGCCCCCCGACTCCCTTCCTGGGCATCTGGGACCCTTTCCTTCCTTTCCCTGGAGGGGACCAGCTAGCTGCCCGTCCCCAGGAAGAGGCCCATCCCGCAGAGGAGGCCTAGCTAAGCTTGCTGCCCCCCTCAGAGACACTATGAGCAGTACCACGGGTTCGTGGTCATCCACGGCACTGACACCATGGCCTTCGCGGCCTCCGTGCTCTCCTTCGTGCTGGAGAACCTGCAGAAAACCGTCGTCCTCACTGGCGCCCAGGTAATGGCCCAGGCTGGCTGGTGGGCATGAGGGCCTGCCCTCCCCAGGCCGCAGGGGGAGTCAGCGGTATGGGGGACCCGGGCCAGACCCCAGGCCTCTTGCTCAGCCCTGCGGCTCCGTGAGGCAGCGCCTGTTCCGCGTGGGCTGGCTGCCAGGCGGGTCACTACCCTGGGTGCTGCCGGCACCAGCTCTGGCATCCCGGGGTGGGTCCATGGCTCGCGCTCAGCCTTGCCCAGCTGCCCTGTCTCTGTCCCTCCTGGGCCGCGTGAGCCTCAGACCCTCCCTGCCCCCCCCCCAGGTGCCCATCCATGCCCTGTGGAACGATGGCCGAGAGAACCTGCTGGGGGCCCTGCTCATGGCCGGCCAGTACGTGATCCCCGAGGTACCCCCCCTCCCTGGCGTGGGCGGTGGGGGTCTGGTTGACTGTCGGGTGGGACACGCAGAGGAAGAGTCTCCAGGGTTTCAAAGATCTGCCTTTTGTCTTACAAATGACACATGCTGTCACCATAGAAAAATTCAGAAAATAAAGCAGAAGGAAACAAAGCCACCCACATTTTACTTCCCAGAAATGCTGCTGTTAGGTTTTTTTTAAAAAAAGATTTTATATATTTATTCTGAGAGAAAGCACGAATAGGAGGAGGGGGAGGGGCAGAGAGAGGCGCAGACTTCCCGCCGAGCAGGGCCCCCCCCCCGCGATGTGGGGCTCAATCGCAGCACCCCCAGGATCACGACCTGAGCCCAACCAAGGCAGACGCTTCCCCGACTCAGGCCCCCCAGGCCCCCCAGGTCACATTCACGTTAAATGCGTGTGTACAGGTGAGTCTCAGGCAGTACAGGCAGATTGTTCGGGGTGTATCTGCAGAGCTGGTTTTCCCCCTTCATGTGGGGGCGCAGGGACACCTTACAAGACCCCTTGCATTGCAGGGCACCCAGTGCTGGGAGGTGGGCCCCAGCCCGGGGGAGGGGGCTTCACTGAAGTGCCGCTCACCATCTCGCTGCCGGGTGCCCCCACCCCTCCCTGGGAGAGCAGCTCTGGGGCTGCTCAGAGTCGGGGGACAGAACCAGGACCCCCACCCCTGGGCTCCGGAGCAGAGCCTGCTGGGACCACAGTGCTATGGGGAGGGGTCTCTCTGCACCTTGGGCTGAGCTCACCAGGAGCTCCCTGAGAAGCAGGGGTGGGGGCAGCGGGGGCCAGGAGGGGAGGGGTGCGGGCCCTCGTGAGGCCAACCCCCGCCCCACTCCCTGCAGGCCCATCCGCGATGTCTGCAGGCTGTTCACCGCGCAGCGGGGCACAGGGGCTCCCCGGCGCTGAGCCTCTGCTCCCTGCCCCCCGCAGGTCTGTCTGTTCTTCCAGAATCAGCTGTTTCGGGGCAACCGAGTGACCAAGGTGGACTCGCGCAGGTTCGCGGCCTTCTGCTCCCCCAACCTGCCCCCTCTGGCTGTTGTGGGCACTGACGTCCTAAGTAAGTGGGGCGGGGAGCCAGGGCTGGGAGATGTCTGGGGTTGAGGGGCACCCCCTGAATGGGAGGGAGCACAACGCTCTACTCTGCCCTGGGCTGCAAAGTCAGGCTGCCCAGAGGTGGTGGCGGGTAGCCCCGGCTCACAGCCAGGGGATGACCTGGGGGAGGAGCAGGTTTGGGGGACCTGCCCTCCATGTGACCCCGAGCCCAGGAATCCCTCTCAGTGACCATCTGTGACCCTGCCACACACCTTGGCCCCCCCTGGGTCGTGGCTCCTGTGTCGTGACCTCCTCCCTGGGACTTCCTGGGAGTCCTGTTTGTCCCAGGCCGGGCAGGTAGCCCAGCCCCTGAGGAGCCCCCGGGAGCCCCGTCCCTCCCTCCCCTGGGCCTGGGTGTAGGGCTGCCTCGGACCTTGTGCTCGGACCCAGAGCTCAGTGCCCCCGGGGAGTCACTTCAGGGCTGCCCTCTCTCCATCCAGGGTGTCCGCCCCCCTGCCGTGTCCCCGGTGGTCTCCTGGCCCCTCCCTGGGTCCACAGTGGGCTTGGCCGGCCCTCCACTCCCACTCCCTGGCGCCTAAGAGCAGCCCCCAGGTGTGCCCCATGTCACTCCCTGACTGAGCCGGGAGGTCCTGGGCCTTATGCCGGCCTGGGCATCTGTCCCCACCCCGCAGCTGCGGGATCCTGTCCCGAGACCTCGTGGGGGGTGGGGGCTGCGGGGCCGGGCAGGACCAGCCTTGCTTTGGGGGCTCTCGGGCTTCGAAGCCTTGCTGCAGGTGGGCTCAGCGTGGAGAGGCGGGGCTGCCTCGGCAGGACTCGGGAGCCCAGCACCTGCAGGGCTGAGGTGGCCCTTCTGGTTGGACTGCGCAGCTTGGGCTTAGGCCTGGCTGGGGGCCAGCCTGTGGGGGCAGTTCCAGCAGACTGGCACGAGAAGAGCCTTTGGGAGTCTCCATGCAGCAGCCCCCATGTCCCCAGGAGGAGGAACAGATCAAGACCCCGGGAGGAGGGGCCGTGGGTCCCAGGGCCTTGACTCCCTAGGGCGGGGGGCTTCCCGGAAGGCTCCCGCACAGACGGGGTCAGGAGCGCCAGGCCCAGGCCGGGCAGGGGCTGCAGGGCAGGAGCCTCTCCGGGAAGGCTGGTGATGGGGACAAGAGCGGGGAGGCGCTCTGGCCGGTGCTGCTGGCCGCCCGTGGAGAGCAGATGATGAAGCAGGCCCTTTCCTGGGACGGGCAGGCTGGTCACGAAACTCCAAAAGCCCCCGGTGCCTTTGGGGTCCCCGCGGGACACACAGACGTGGAAGTCCCAGCATGGTGATGCGCAGGACCCAGCTCCTCGCTGGGCAGTTGTGAGGCCGCAGCCGGCCAGGGCAGCAGGAGGCCAGAGGGTGGGCAGGTGAGGCATAGGGGGCCCACAGCGAGGTGTCCGCTCAGCCCGGGCCCGGACCCCCATTCTGGTGGCTTTATCCTGTACCCCCTCCCCGTACTCACCCCCCCATCTGCGAGGGCCCTCCAGGAGTCCTACAATAGAGCCCCCAGGTGGATGGGAGGGCTCTAGGGGCGGGGGGGGGGCGTCCACCTGCTTGCTGAGGGCCGGAGCAGTCGGCGGGGGGGCTCCCAGAGGAGATGGCCCATGTGCTGGCTGTGGACAGGTGGGCTTCCTTGCTGGTGTTGGGGGGCAGTGGGGGTGCTCGGCCCCTCCTGCCCTGGTGCCGGCCGCGGAGGAAGGAAGGGGTGGGCACGAGGCAGTGGGCGGCCACGCTGCAGGCCCGGCTCCCCCGTGGGGACTGAGTCACACCTCATCTGGGACTCGGGAGCCGAGCTTCCGGGGACGCACCCCGCTGGCAGGCGCGGAGCGGCTCACCGGGGTGGCGGGGCTGTCTGTGCCGTACCAAGCCCGGGCAGGCCGCAGGGCCCAGGGCACGCTGAGGCAGGCTGGGCCCCCCGCAGCTGGGTGGGCGCAGGGCTGAGGCCGCCCCTGGAGCCCCAGGCCCACGGCCCCCTGCGATCGCTGCTCGCGGGCCAGGGTGCCCGTGCGGGGTGTGAGAACCTTCGGCCCTGCTGCCCCAGGGTGGCGGTCAGGCCCCGGGGCCCTCGGGCACCTGGTGTTGAGAAACACAGGCTCTGCCCAGCGCAGGGCTGGTGGCACCGCTGGGGAGGGGCGTGGGAGGGCACAGGGGACCTCGGAGCTGGCAGGGGCGACCCCCACTCTCCCGCTGCAGGTGGTGGAGGAGATGCCGCCAGCCCAGCCCAGCCAGGACTCTCCCTTGCATTTTTCTTCCCTCCGTGAGGCCAGTGTAGACAGGGCTTGTTGGGGGGTTGAGGGGTGTGTGATGGTGCTGGGCCTGCCCCATAGGCTGTGGGGACACAGGGAGGGGGCTCGGTCGCCACCTACAGAGTGTGGGGGGTGGTCTGCACCCCACGCTATGCTGCTACCACCCTCCTTCCTGCCTCGGCTCCCCTGGAGGAGGGACTTGGGGTTCCACGGCTCTCGGGGACGTGGGCTCGCTTTGTCTCCATAAGCCCCCCTCTGCGGCCATAACTCCTGCGGGTGGCAGCGCCCCCACCCCGCCGCCGGCTTATCTGCTCTCCCAGATGGGTCCCACGGCCCTAAATTACAGGCCGCCTCTCCCTGCTGACGGTCGCTGCGGGGCCCCTCCTGCTGCCCGGCCCCCTGCGCCCCCGGGATGCGGCGCGAGGGGGCAGCCTGGGTCCGGAATGGTCCCTGCTTTGTTGTCACACGCGAGCTGCCCGGGTGGCCGCAGCAGGAGGCGCAGGCTGACACCCCCGTGGGGGTAGGGAGGCGCCCTGGCAGGCTCCCCGAGACCCCTCCCCGGCACTGTGGTCCGGCCCCGCCGCGGGGCCCTGCACTGGACGCGGCCCCTGCCCCCTCAGACAGGCTTTAACAGTGTCCCCTGAGGCCATCGTCACCCGGCCTCCGCCCTGAGCAGCGGGCTTGTGCCCAGGATGGACAGCGGGGGCGGTGAGCCGGGCTCCTGAGGGGCTCGCAGGCGGGGTCTGCTGCCCACCCCCCCTCCCCCGGAGCGGGATGCACGAAGGGGGGGCCTCCGCGGCTCGGTCCTGGCGGAGCAGTGACCCCCGACCCACGGGGAGCCCGGCCAGGGAGGCTCCTCCATGCGTCGGGTTTGAGGGGCACTGACCCTGATATCTGCCTCTCCGCTTTCCACGGGGCCTGGGGGGGCCCCCGAGACTGGGGTCAATCAGATGGAGGCTTTCTTCCCCAAAGCTGAGGGGTCCGGAAGACTCGCTCATTTCTTCATTCGCTCGTTCCCTGTTTGACTTGCTGGGCCGTGGGCGGCGGGCGGGGGGGCCGGGTCAGGGGCCGGCGAGGCTGGACGGTCGGACCCGTCCCGGGACGCAGGACCACGCACGGCGTGTGGCTCTGCAGCTGCGCCCCCACGCCCGTGCGCACATCGCTCCGCCCGTTCCCGCACGCTCGGGGGCCCTGGGCCCCGAGCACAGGCTGGAGCCCTCCGGAGGATGGGGGGAGGGCAGGGCGGCCTGGGAGCGGGCCAGCGGGGGCCGGGCAGCGCAGAGGGCCCGAGGCGCCGCACCCTGTTGGCTGTCCCGAGGCCCCCGGGCCCCACGCGCGCCTCTGCCCTCACAGTCAACCGGGAGCTGGTGCGGAAGGCCCGAGGCAAGGACCGGCTGGTCGTGCACAGCAGCATGGAGCGGGACGTGGGCCTGCTGCGCCTCTACCCCGGGATCCCCGCCGCCCTGGTAGGCACCCGCCCAGCCCGGCACCCCCCCACGCCCCCGTGGCTCCCTGGCGCTTGCCCTCCCACTCCGTCCCGTCACCCACCACAGGCACGCAGGGGGCAGCAACTGCATGAAGCTCCTCAGCCTCCACGGCCAAGGCTGAGCCATTCGGGGGCTGAGGCATCCCTGGGACCTCCACCTCCTCCCCCGCCTCCCCAGCTTGGGTTTCGGGGCCCAGTCTTCCCTTACTTGCCCCATGGGCTTGACCCTGCAGATGCCTGTGGACTCACAGCACCTGGTCCAGGCTTCCTCGGGGGCCGATGGGGCTGCCTGCCCTGGTGGTCCCCTGCTTACTCCCTGCCGGCGACCCCGGAGCCACGGGCTGCCCGACTCTGCCCAGCTCTGCCCGCCGTGTGAACTGGGCTCCGAGGCCACGTGGCCATTATGTAGAGGGTGTCTGAGCTCAAAGCACCTCTGGGCACCCTGGGGTCAAGCGTGGAGGTGCTGGTGCTAGTCTCAGAGGCACCGTGAGGCTGCAGGGAGGTGGGGCTGCAGGCACCACAGCTCAGAGGACACTTGCTCAAGTGCTGTGACCTGCCGAGCACCCTGGCCCCTCCTCTGTGTGGACAGATGTGGCTTCACAGGCATGTCCACACACACAGGGGGCCTGGCCGGCACCTGTCACCAGCCTGCGGGACTCGGCATGTGCTGCCCCAGAGCCCTGGGTCAGTGTGTGAACCGGTGCCTGATGCCATCAAAGGGCCCTGGAGACAGACGTGCGGGGGGTGGGGGGTGTTCTGTTGTCAGCACACACCACGGCCTAGACCTTTCAGAGGGGACCCGGTGTCCCTTGGGGGGTCGAGGCGGGGGGCGACCTGCATGGCCCTCCGTGGGGCCTGCTCAGGGCCCTGGAAGCAGCCTCGGCCACGGGCAGGTGCCAGACAAGCCCGTGGGCTCCGCCGCAGGGGCGAGAGGCCCGGGCGTCCCCATCCTGTCGCACCCGCAGGTCCGGGCCTTCCTGCAGCCCCCCATGAAGGGCGTGGTCATGGAGACGTTCGGCTCGGGGAACGGGCCCACGCAGCCCGAGCTGCTGGGGGAGCTCCAGGCGGCGGCGCAGCGAGGCCTCATCATCCTCAACTGCACTCACTGCCTCCAGGGCGCCGTGACCTCCGACTACGCGGCCGGCATGGTGGGGGCGGGGAGCCGGGGCCCGGGGTGGCGAGGGCATGGGCCCCGAGACCCTGCACCCATTTCCGGCTCGCACCCCTCTGCCCACAGGCCATGGCGGGCGCCGGCATCATCTCAGGCTTCGACATGACGTCAGAGGCGGCGCTGGCCAAGCTGTCCTATGTGCTGGGCCAGCCGGGGCTGAGCCTGGACGGCAGGAAGGAGGTACACGCCGCTGGGCTGTGGGCGTGGGGACACGAGTGCGAGAGCTCCAGGGCATGGCAGGGGTGCGACTCGGGCAGACGGTGGGGCCAGCCAGCCCAGCGGCGTGCGTGCCTGGTCTGGAAGGGGGGCAGGGATGCAGGGCCTCCCTGGGGGCTCGGGGGCCCCCTCCACCCCTTGCGAGCCCCAAGCCCAGACTACCTGTTCTTCCCCTCTCTCGGGGAGCCTTGGTCCGGCTGGGGCTGAGGCTCCTCACGCTGCTCCCAGGATATCCCCTCAGGCCCCACCCTTCCCCGGGGGCCCTCAGACGCCGCCAGCCTGGCAGAGGCCACAGGACCCTTGGGAGACTGAGCCTAGTGGGATGGACCGGGCTGGGGTTAGGCTCCGGCCGGAGGGTCGGGAGTTTCGGGCCCAGGGCGGCCCTCCCCGCATGCCCTGGGGTGCCCGGCCGCCAGCTTGGTCCGGGCTCCGGGGCCGCAGAGCACTCCTGACCCGCGCTCTCCTCCCCCAGCTGCTGGCCCGGGACCTGCGGGGGGAGATGACGCTGCCCACGGGCCACGAGCGCCGGCCCTCCCTGAGCTGCAGCACACTGGGTCGGGGGGTTGCCCAGCTCCTCGCTCTGAGCCAGGTACTGCCCAGTGGGGGTGCTGGGGTCCCGGCTGGACGTGCCAGGCACCAGCCCTCGCCAGTGTCGTTCCAGCACGAGCAGAAAAGCACGGTGTGGCCCGGCTCCGGCCCGTGGAGGGTCGGTCTGCGGGGATTCAGGCGGGGAGCAGCACGTGGGAGGGGCCCGGACGGGTTAGCGGAGTCTTTGCAGCATGTGGACGCGGGCAAAATGTGGCCCCACCCCCGGTGGGCCATCGCGCGTGGCCAGGCCTCACGTGCCTGGGTCCTGGGTGCTGGAAGGGGAGGGAGCCGCCTGCAGGGTCTTCCGGCACCTGTGGTGCAGCCTGGCCTTGGGACACCCCCTGCACCTTCCCGCCCGGGGCGCTGCTTCAGGGTGAGGCGTCCGGGCCTGGCACTGCAGCCCGGTGCCGCCCGGGGTCACGCCACTCGTGGCCGTTCCCGCCTGCCCGGCACGGGCAGCTGCAATCCTGTTCACGGCCACTTGCGGGGGGGACAGGCCATGGTCAGACGGGGGCTGGGATGTGTGCGGCCCGTTGCTAGGGCGACTGTGTCAGCCGGCCGGGCTGCTGGGCTGAGCGTGGGGCTGCCCCCGGGGGCCTCTGCTGGGATTCCCGGCCCTCTGGCCTCAGGGGAGCTCCCAGACGCCCCAGGGCATTCCGGCACGGCCCCGTAGGAGCTCTGGGGTGTCGTGCCCTTCTTTCCAGGTGGGGGGACTGAGCACCCCGTCCCACGCTCCCCCGCCCTGGGTGCCTGCTGTGATTGTCTCTCCGTCCCCAATGGTGGTCTCAGAGGGTGGGTGGCCTGCCCCGGGCACACAGCTGGGAAGGACAGAGCCAGATGGTGGCCTCGTGTCCGTGTCCCCCGGGGCAGGTGCTGAAGGCCCCGTTGTGCTCCCCGCAGGAGGCCGACGCCCTGCGGGACGCTCTGCTGCCTGGTCTGGCCTGTGCCGCGGCCCACGCTGGCAACCTGGAGGCGCTGCAGGCGCTTGTGGAGCTGGTGAGGCCCCCGCGCCCCTCGGGGGCCGGCCCCAGCCACACCAGTCCCGGGGGTGCAGGACGGCCGGGCTGTGCCAGGCCCCGCTCCCGGGTGCACCCTGACCCTCCCCGTCCCCCCACGGCCGCCCGGACCCCGCCCAGCCCCCATCGGCAGGTGGCATGCCTTTGCGTCACCCCAGGGCAGCGATCTGAGCCTAGAGAACTTCAACGGTCAGACTCCTCTGCACGCGGCCGCCCGGCGAGGCCAGGCCGGGGCGGTCACCATGCTGCTGCAGAGAGGGGTGCCTGTGGACACCCGAGATGAGGACGGACTCAGCCCGCTGCTGCTGGCCGTGAAGGGCAGGTACCTGGGCGCACAGGCCGGGGCACCATGTGGGGGGCCAGGGTGGAGCCGCCTTAGAGAGGGCCGCCAGGTTGCCTGTGGTGACACAGCGGACATGTGCTTCTGAGAGCCCCACCCACCACACAGGGAGGGCTTCCTGGAGGAGGCGACCCCTCAGCTCGGCCAGGCAGGTCCAGCAAGACCCTGGTTCAGAGTTTTAGAAAAGAAAAACACGGACGAAGCACAAGGGGTCGAGTGCGTGTTCCCTAAGTCATCTACACACACCTGTGAGGCCGGAGGGCGGGGAAAGGGGAGAAGCCCCTGTCCCAGCTCCTGCACATGATAGGTGTGAAGCAGGCTACGCTGTGCCAGGTGTTAGGCTGGGATGGGCACCGGTGCCCTCGGGGGGCAGGCTCAGCCAGCACGGCGGGTGGGGGACCTCCCCCAAGCTGGCCCCCCTGACATTATTTATTTATTCATGAGAGACAGAGAGACAGAGACACAGGCAGAGGGAGAAGCAGGCTCCCTGCGGGGAACTTGATGCGGGACTCGATCCCGGGACCCCAGGATCACGCCCTGGGCCGAAGGCAGGCGCTAAACCAGTGAGCCACCCGGGATCCCCCTATACCCTGGATTTTTATTTTTTTATTTTTTATTTTTATTTATTTTTAAATTTTTATGTATTTATGATAGTCACAGAGAGAGACAGAGAGAGAGAGAGAGAGAGATTGAGAGAGGCAGAGACACAGGCAGAGGGAGAAGCAGGCTCCATGCACCGGGAGCCTGACGTGGGACTCGATCCCGGGTCCCCAGGATCGCGCCCTGGGCCAAAGGCAGGCGCCAAACCACAGCGCCACCCGGGATCCCTACCCTGGCTTTTTAAAGGCACGGTCCTGGCCTGGCATGTGTGTGTGCGTGCGTGTGCATGTGTACACACGTGAACCTCGGTGTGAGAGCCCGTGCTTGTGTCGGGGGGCAGGAAGGAGTCACAGCTCCTGTGTTGAATCCTTTGTCGGCTTATTTAGCATCCGCGCAGTCCCCAGACCCCTGGCCTCTCCTCGGGGTCCTCTCCCCAGGGGCACTCGGCCTGCCAGCAAGTGCTTGCGAGTCCCACGGAGAGAGGCTGAGGGTGTGTGAGCCTCAGGGGGGGGCATGTCACACACACACACACACACACACACACACACACACACACACACCCGTGCACGGGGCCAGGCGGTTCCCAGGATGGGGGTGAGGGGCTGCAGCGATCTGGCTGCGATTCCAGGCTGAGTCCTTGGTCGTGGGTGGATGGTGATGAGCTCACCGTCCGGTCCCGCCTCCTCATCCCTGACCCCACCCCCCCAGCAGCCCCCCCCCAAACCGGTCTCCCAGCCTCGATCTCCAGGCCTCAGTCCTGGGCCTGGACCTGTTGTGCCCTAGAGGGCTCTCGGGGTGGGGAGGGCAGGCCTGGGAGGGCCCCCTCCTCTCCAGCCTTCCTAAAAGTGGGTGACCGTGCAATTTATGGTACAAGGACACTGCGGGGGAAGGGACCCGGTTGGCAGTCATGCGTGAGTCTGCCTCTGCACATTCTGTTCCCTCTCGTTGCCCACCCCGGCCCCCGCTGCACAAGCCCCCACCCCGACCCAGCCGCCACCCTCGGCCCCATCCCACGCACGCCCAGGGGGTGGCTCCAGGCTTGGCCTGGGCCAGTCAGCCTCTGGAAACCCAGACGTCAGGGCCCTACTCTGGGATCCTACTGTTTGCGTTTATCCACCAGTGTCTCGTCCCCACCTCGCCTCCAAGGGCAGAGTGCAGGCCCAGCTGACTCAGTTTCCCCAGGCCCAACCCTGGTTGGTGTGTGCAGTGGGGCCAGGCTGCCCCCAGGGGCCCGTGGGCGTGCTTGGGCCCTTAGGATGGGGGCTGGGGGAGACCATGGCAGAGGCCTCATGGTGTGGGCAGAGGAGCTGCTCAGCGGGGCTGACTCCCCAGCATGGGGCAAGCGCTGGGGTGCCTCCGGCCCGGCCCCCCCTGCAGACCCACCACGCCCGGGGAAGGTCCCTGCACGCGTGGAGGGGCACGGCACTGGCCTGGGCCGGGGGCTGGAGGCGGGGGCGTGATGGAGCAGCTGCTGCCTGGGCGGGCGGTCAGCACACTCTCTCGTGGCAGGCATCGGGGTGTCATTGGGCTGCTGCGGGCAGCTGGGGCCTGCCTGTCCCCCCGGGAGCTGGAAGACGCGGGGACGGAGCTGTGCAGGTGAGGGCTGCAGGTGTACCCGTGCTTCCGGGAGGCAGGCACGGGGCTCCAGGAAGGGACAGCCAGCCGGGTGGGGGGGCTTCCGGGGAGGAGACCCCACCCCGTGCCAGTCTGGCCACTGGAGGTTGGGGCGGATGCGGGGGTTGACCCTGTTCAGGCGAGGTGACAGGCCTCCTGCGTCTGTCCTCCCGGTACGGGCCTCACCGGAGTGGGCCTGGCCCCTGCCATGGGCTAAACTGACCACGGTCAGCGGCGGTCCTGCCTCGACACCCCACAGCCCGTTGCTGGCGGGCCTCTGACCTCACAGGTGCCCCGGGTGACACAAGCAGGCCCGGGGAGACAGGGGCAGGGGAGTGGGGGGCCCTGGAGGTCTCCGTGAGGGTGTTGGCAGTGGGACAGGAGGGGGCCGCAGAGCGCAGCGTCTTCGTCCACCCCTGGCACCCCCTCCCCGTGCTGCGGTGCCCTCGGCGCCACCTGTCAGCAGCCCCAGGGCCGAGGGCCGAGGTGCGGAGCGCAGACAGGCGCGGAGGTCAGGAGAGGCTTGTCCAGGAGGCGAGGCCGGGGGTGGTGGTAGCCGGGCTGGGGGGGCTGGAGGCAGCCTCGCTCTGCAGCCCCGGGAGGCCCCCCGAAGTGTGGGGAGCGGGTCACAGCCGTGGCTGTCGGGCTGGGAGCTGGGAGCGAGGCGGGCTGAACAGTGCGCTCACGGGAAGGGGGCCTGGAAGCTCCGGCCTCCTTGGCCCCGGCCTCGGTCTCCCCCAGCCCTGTGCCTCGGTGCCAGCCTCAGCCGACCCTGGGGGGTCCCAGTTCTACATGTGGGGTGAGGTGGAGAGCCCCCACTGGCCCCTGCCTCAGGCCTCTCGGGGGACAAACCCTGCTGGCCAACCCAGCCCCCACCCGTCCCAGGTGGCAGGGGAAGGTGGGCTCCTGGACATGATGAAGTGCCAGGGCCTAGCTGGGGGGTGCCAGGGCCTAGCAGGGGAGGGGGCCAGGGCCTAGTGGGGGGGAGGGGGTGCAGGGCCTAGCAGGGGAGGGAGCCAGGGCCTAGTGGGGGGGAGGGGGTGCAGGGCCTAGCAGGGGAGGGGGCCAGGGCCTAGCTAGCAGGGGAGGGGCCAGGGCCTGGCGGGGGAGGGGGCTACTCACAGCCATTGGCCTTGGCTCTGAGAGGACTCCATGGGACTTGGTTGAGGATTGCGAGGCCAGGCGGGAAACAGGCAGAGGGGGGCGGTGGTAGCCAGGCCCCGCGGTGTCCAGGGCTCTGCCTGGGGGAGGGCGCGTCCAACCTGGGCCGCCTGGCTGGATCTGGGGGCCCCGCCGAGAGGCGAGCCTGTGGGAGCTGGTGTGGGAGGCTGGCGACAGGTCTGGGAGGGGCTGGCGGTGCCATCCAGCATGATTCACCCTAGAAATAACTCAGTGCCGCTCTGGGGGCTGCTGCTGTTTCCTGACCGGGAGGGAGTCACTGGCGCCCCTTTGGGAGGAGAGCCCCCCCCGCCCCCCCCCCCCTGCACCAGCGTCCCCTGCCCTGGTTGGCACAGCCAGCGGTTCCTTCCCTGCCCGGCCCTGGTTGGGGAGCGGGCTCCTTGGAGAGGGGCGGGGGGCGAGGAGGACCTGGTGAGGGCCTCTCCTCCTCCTCCTCCTCCCCCGGGGCAGGTGGGCTCCGGCCCCCCACGCCGCCTGCGGAGCCCAGGCCCCGTCTCCTGCGTGTCTGTGTGAGCCACGGGGCTGTCGCACACTTCCCTCCTGCCTCTGCCGACCCCGCCCGAGGACGGCTGTGTTGTGAAACATGAAACTGGCCCGTGGCGCTCCTTGTGGGGTGTGTGTGCATGTGCGCACGCGTGTGCATGCTTGTGTGAGTGCGTGCATGCCTGTGCCCTTGACCTGAGTCACCGTCACCCTCACTGGGTGAACCCAGACTCCAGGCCACTGGCTGGCCCCGGGAGTCAGTCCCACGCTCCCACCCTGCCGCCGTGGGGCGCTGCTGGGGGCCCCCATGCTGGGGCCGGGGGCTGGCTTGGTGGAAGTGCCTGGGGCTCTGACCGCTCCCCTGCTCTGCCCTCCCAGGCTGGCGGCCAGGGCCGACCTTGAAGGCCTTCGGTCTTGGTGGCAGGCGGGGGCTGACCTGGGGCGGCCGGGCTACGACGGGCGCAGTGCCCTGCTTGTTGTGAGTGTCTGCGCCGCTCTCTCCTAGGCCACCTCCTCCAGGAAGGCCTCCCGACACTTCCACCCGCTCTCCCTCCTCCACCCCTACCCCCAGTGCCCAGACTCCTACTCTCCGTTCCCACCCCAGGCCCCTCCCTGGGCAGAGCTGTGGGGAGGCATCCTGGTGGGTGGGAGGCAGGGCGGGGGTGGGGGGGGTGGGGGTCAGGGGCCCTGCTGCTGGTCACAGGCTCCCTCCCACAGGCAGAGGCGGCCGGGAACCTGGAAGTGGTGACCTTTCTGCAGCACGTCCAGGGTGGGGCACCTGTGAGTTTCCTCTGCCCCACGAGGGACTGGGGCTTCCCCGTGAGGCTGGACCCTGGCTTAGGGCCTGCGTGTAAGGGCCAGTCCCGGGGACGCAGCCAGAGGCCTGACGGGTCACAGCGGGTCAGGCCTGCGGAGCTCCCCCCCGTTGGGCCAGCTGAAAATGCCTGGAGGGAGCAGTCAGGAAGGGCTTCCCGGAGGAAGGGTCAACTCACACCTCCTGCATGCTGTCCGGTCAGGCCACTCTGTGACGCACCCTCCCACAGCCCTGGAGGGCCCCAGCCAAGAAGTTCCTTGAGCCCCGAGGGGACCTCAGATCCCTCTGTGGCGCGTCCTGCCCCCCCCCCCCCCCCCCCCCCGGGCCGGGCACTCCCCCTGCCTCCCAGGGTAGGTGGGCCAGGCCATCCCCGGGGCCTCCAGAAGACTCCCGAGTCTGCCTCGATTTGCTCAGGTCCTCGGGTCCCTCCCTGCAGAAGGCTGGGCCCCCGCGGGGAGGTGCCCAGGCTTGTCTGTCTGCCCTTGCCCCATTCGCTACCTGGGCCTCGGGAGAGAGGTCTCAGGAGACCTCCCGTTTTCAGGAAGTCCTGCCTGGTGTCTGACTGACCTGAAGCTGTCCTGCTGCGGTGTAAGCCACGACTTCCGGTTGCGACCTGCTGGAGGGGATCGCGGGCACCCCGGCCGGTGACTCTGCCTGAGATGTGCCCCCACTGCCGGGACTGTGTCCCATCCCATCTCCAAGACAGTCTTTGTGGGGTGGAGTGGCAATAAAGTCTCTCCGGGGCCCCCTCCCCCGGTCCCCAAGCCCAGCTCCAGCGGGTGCTTCTGGGTCCCGGGACCGTGGGTATGTGTGTGGGGAGTCGCGCCCAGGCTCTGGGTCACAGGGCACCCCAGGAGGTCGTCTCGGGGGCAGCAGGACGGAGGTGTGTGAGCCGGGCCGGCCCTCTCCCGCTCCCCTCTCCAGACAACCCCTGTCCCGTCTCCTTTGCTCCGATCCTTCTCATGCTCGAAGCTTAAAGGCCCCTCCTAGGGGCAGCCTCTGCCTGGACTCCCCTTGTGCTGACGGGACCGTCCCCTCTCGCTAATCCTCCGGGTCCATCCCAGTCGCTGTCCGAGCGGCGTGCGGGGTTCAGTCTGGCCCCATGCCCATAGTCCTGCTCGGGGAGGCGTGAGGGGGTGACCTGTGGCGGCCCTGGGTCGGGGTGGCTCTCAAGGCGGGGGACGGCCCTGAGCCTTGTCAGAGGCCTGGCTGGGGCTGAGTCAGCTGTCGGTACCCCGGCCGGTGCTCTGTCCCAGCTATAAGCAGCCCAGTGGGGCGAGGGCACCCCTGGGCTCAGGCCCGCCACCGCCATGTGACTCCAGGCCTGGCCCGGCCAGAGGCTGAGGACCCCTGAGCCCTCCTTGCTGAGCATGAGGAGTGTGGGGGCAGGGAGGGGGCATGGGGGTGAGGGGTACCCCTGTCCCGGTTCTTTGCTACCTCGAACCTCTGACTGCCCACAGGAGGATTCCCATCCGTGTGTCCGTCTGGCCCCTGGGTTGCAGGCTCCGGGGAGCCGGGCCCAGCCTGAGGGCACGTGCCCTGTAGATGCTGGGCGAAAGCATGACCCCCAAGAGCTCGCCCTTGGCATCCACCAAGCAGCTGGGACCTCTCCCAGGTGGGCCGGGCTGGGGGTGGCTCCGCCTGCACCCCCAGGCTTCTCAGCCCGGTTCCCAGGCCCAGGCTGGCACCTTGGCTGGCAGCCTTCCAGATTCTCGCCCAGACACGGGTGTGCCTGGGCCTTGCACAACCAGGGAGCACTGCATGAGCATGGCTGGTCCCGAGGAGCCTTTGCCCCACACCCTGATGAAGGCCCCATGAGTGGGGTGTGTGGGGAAGGAAGGGGGCTCGGGGCTTGACAGTCGGGGGGTGGCTGCCGGCGGGGTGGGACAGTTGGACGGAAGCCTGGTGGAGGCCAGGAGGGAGGAGGCTGCGTCTCGGGTCCCGCCCCTGCCCCCCGCCGCTCTGTCCCCAGAACCCAGAGCTCTCCGGAGGCCCCCACCCCTTGGGCTCTGCTTGCCAGGGGCTGGGGCAGAGCCTGCTGCTCACGGCCACTCAGTACTCAGCACTTCTCTCAGACCCCGGGGAGCCCCAGATTGTGAAAGCTGCAGGTGGCTCACATCAGCCCACATGGGGCACCCTCCCAGAGCAGGTGTCAACCTGCCGGTGTAGAAGTGCCCACTGGATCCTGGGATGGGTATCCTGCCGGGGCGGAAACTCCCACTGTGTCCTGGGTGTCCCACGGAGGGCACATGGTCATCTGGCTTTTCCCCCAGTGGGTCACTGCCAGCTCCTGCCAGCTGGGCAGGTGGGGAGAGGCCCCCATTCTCGGTCTGTGGCCTGCACACACCTGTGGGACACAGAACACTACCAGGCATGGCTCCCGGACAGGGCGTGTGTCTGGAAGCTTGGAAAGTCACGGGAGCATGCCTGGAAGCTTCCTCAGAGCCATTTTGTCATTCCTGGGGAGAGGCCAGTCTGGACTGGAGGCGAGCGCCTCTGAGAATCACGGAGCGGCAGCAGGGCGGCCAAGGGCCCGTCGCCTAGGCCCCGGCACACACCACCCAGCGGGAGAGCCACGCGGGGACCCTGTTGGGGGCTCCCCTCCCGCCGTGTGCTAGGTCGCCTCGTCCCTGCTACGCTCCAGGAGGGGCCGGTTCATCTTCCTTCCCGCTCTACAGCCGGGGACACTGAGGCCCTGCGCTCTGGGTTGTGCGTCGGCACACGGCGGAGCTGGGCTCTGGGCCCGCCTGGCACTGGGGCAACCTCCTCGCCTCTGGAGGGAACCACGGGAGGTGCGGAGAGGGGCTCGGGGGGCCCCGACTCCTTGGACAGCTGCACTGCTCGCACCCACTAATCCCTCGCTGGGTGAGGTCTGGCTCCCAGCGGCCCCTCTCAAACCACCGGATGGCAGGGTCATCTCTGGGAAACCTGTCTCCCTCTCGCTTAGGCCACGATCTGCGGTACCCAGTGTTTCCCATCATAAAGCCAGACGTCCCAGTCAGGGCACCCAGGCCACTCCACTCCTGGGGACAGCTCACCTGATTTCTTTTCAGGACAGGAAGTTCCCTTTCTGGGCACGGTGCAAGTGGGAAGCACAGCTTCTTGTCCTTGTCACCCTCACCTCACCAGTCCCCTTTGATGCGGGACCCAGTGACCCACCTTTGCTGGATGAGGAGAGGGCACTGGGGGGAGGGTGAAGTGTATAGGGAGGGGTCTGCCCCAGCCTGGGCTGTGCCAGGGAGCTGGGGACAGGAGAGGGGGGGGCTCCCACCCATGTGGTGATGGCCCTGGCGGTGGTGACGGGGAGACATGCCCAAGCTCTGCTCCTTGCTCCTTGGTCACGTGCCTCTGCGCCACCTCCCCCTCCGGGTCGCATCCCCTACCCCCGCCCCAGTGTCTGACCCGGAGCACGAGCACCGGACACAGGCCTGTGGACTCAGCAGAGGTGCTGGGCGTGGAGACGTGGCTCCCCCTTGCCCCCCCAGAGCCTTCAGCCTGGGAGCAGTGACGTCCCCTGGGCGAGCCTGTTTCTCCAACTGCAAAGTGCAAAGAATAAGACCTCTGCCACTCAGGTGGCAGGGCGGTGACAGGTAAACTGCCCACGGCGCATGTGGAAATGTCCCGTGTCCCTCGAACTTGGCAACTAGGCCGCTGCGACCTCGCGTGGGGTCGGTGTGGTGGGGGGGGGGCGGAGGACCCTCGGCTGGGGGCGGGGGGGCTGGTGCGTGTGCGCGGGGGGGGGGGGGGGGGCGGAAGCGCCCTGGACTTAGCTCAACGACGCGCGCAGCCCCACCGGTGGCCCAGACCTTCCTTCCTAAAGCCCCTCTGTGCCCTCCGTGGGCAGCTCCCTGTGAGCCCCCGGGGGCCTCGGAGGTGGGGCCCTCACCTCTCCAGGTGACTAAGTGGGCAGGCCCGGCGCACGCGGGAGGGGGCGAGGCGGGGGCGGGGCGCGGGGGCTCCGGGCACCCTCGTACCCTCGGAGGAGAGCGCAGCGGGGGCTGAGAGCCAGACACCGGCCAGGCGCGTCGTGTCGCTCCCCGCGGCCCTCGCCTAGTTTCACTTTCTCTTTGTTCCCCTCCCACGGGGATCTCTTTGAAGTGAGAGGGGCGGGGGGCGTGTCCGAGCCCGCGGCCGGCGCCCCCTCCCCCCCTGCGCGGGGCGGCCCCGGGCTGGGGGGGGGCGGCCCCGGGGGGGGGGGGCGGCGGCTCGGGGGGGGGGGCGGCGGCTCCGGGCTGGGGGGGACTCCGGGGGGGGCGGCCCCTGGCTGGGGGGGCGGCTCCGGGCTGGGGGGGACTCCGGGGGGGGCGGTCCCAGGTTGGGGGGGCGGCCCCGGGCTGGGGGGGCGGCCCCGGGGGGCGGGGGCGGCGGCTCCGGGGGGGCGGCGGCTCCGGGCCGCACCTGTCTGTCGGCCGCCCGCGGGGCCAGCTCGGCGGCGTCACCGCCCCCCCCCCCCAGCCCCGCGGCGAGGCCGGGTCGCGGGCCCCACGGAGCGCGCGCGGTGGCCGGGCCTGGAGCGCGGGGCGGGGACGCCAGGTGCGCGGGGCGGGCGCCGGGGGCGGGGCCGCGGGCCGGTGAGTCAGGGCCGCCCCCGCGCGGGCGCGCCGAGCAGGTCCCGGGGCCGCGGACGCCCCGCCGCGCGACCCGCCGGCCCGGGAGCCGCCCCGCCCGGAAAAACCGGTCGGGCCGGCGCGGCGCGGTCGCATTCCGGCGGCGGGGGAGGGCGCCCGCCTGGCTTAAAAGGCGCCGCGGCCGCTGGGACGCAGCCGCTGGGCCACGCGGGGCGCGGGCGGAGGGGACGCGCGGCGGGACGCCCGGGCTCGCGGGGCTCGGCGGGCGGGCGGGTGCGGCGGGGCCGGCGGCGGCGCTCGGGCGCTCGGGCGCTCGGGGCGCGCCCGCGGACTTCCCGGCGCGCTGGGTCCAGTGGTTCTTAACAGTTCAACAGTTCTGTAGCGCAATTGTGAAATGTTTAGGACCACTAGACCCGGCGGGCCCGGCGGCGGCGGCGGCCACACGCCCACGCGCCCCTGCGAGCAGCGAGCCGGCCCGAGCGCGGGGTCCCGGGGCGGGCGCGGGGCGGCCCCCCTTCCCCCCCCCCCCCCCCCCCCGAGTGCGCCGGATCCCACCGCGACCTGCCGGCGGCCCGCGCTTCCCGGGCTTCCCGGGCTTCCCCGGCGGCGGCGGGGCGGTGAGCGGGGTGAGCCGGGCGGGGGCGCGGGGGCGCGGGGCACGCGGTTGAGAGGCGACGCCCCAGGCGGTGGGGGCGCCCCAGCCCCGGCGGGAGGGCACGTCGGGCGCAGCCGGGGGAGCGCTGGGAAGGGCTCCGCGCCCACCTCCCGCTGGGAGACGAGGCTGACCCCCCGGAGGGACTCCCGCAGCCTCTGGGGGAGCAGCGGCGGGTGGGGCGCCCCTCAATCCCTGCCTCCTCCGCCCAGTGTTTAGAGGAAATACAGGGCAGCCTGGACGGCAGGTCACACGGGTCTGGGTTCGAGGTCCGCCGGGCCCTGCCGCGCCGGGTGCCCTTGGGCCAGTCACCTGCTGTCCCTGAGCCCCACCTGCTCATGGGTGGGCGGGAGGGGTTGCCCCTGCCCCTGCCCCTGCCCCTGCCCCCGGGGTGGAGGTGAGGCCCAGCCTGCAGGACCCCTGGCTGCCGGGAGGAGGACGATGTGTTCCCGGGAGGAGGGTCCCCCCTCCAGCCAGCACCTTCTGCCTTCGCCCAGCCAACTGCTCGCCACCGCTCCGTGGGAGCGCCCAGGAGCCCCGCGCG